CTCATTGTCATGTTCAAGAAACCAATTTGAAATGATTAGAGCTTTGTGACATGGTGGAAGTAGCCATCAGAGGATGGGTACATGGTGGCCATAAAGGGATGGACATGGTCAGAAACAATGCTCAGGTAGGCCGTGGCATTTAAACGATGCCCAATTGGCACTAAGGGGCCTAAAGTGTGCCAGGAAAACATCCCCCACACCATTACACCACCACCACCAGCCTGCACAGTGGTAACAAGGCATGATGGTTCCATGTTCTCATTCTGTTTACGCCAAATTCTGACTCTAACATCTGAATGTCTCAACAGAAATCGAGACTCATCAGACCAGGCAACATTTTTCCAGTCTTCAACTGTTCAATTTTGGTGAGCTCTTGCAAATTGTAGCCTCTTTTTCCTATTTGTAGTGGAGATGAGTGGTACCCGGTGGAGTCTTCTGCTGTTGTAGCCCATCCACCTCAAGGTTGTGCGTGTTGTGGCTTCACAAATGCTTTGCTGCATACCTCGGTTGTAACGAGTGGTTATTTCAGTCACTGTTGCCCTTCTATCAGCTCGAACCAGTCTGGCCATTCTCCTCTGACCTCTGGCATCAACAAGGCATTTCCGCCCACAGAACTGCCGCTCACTGGATGTTTTTTCTTTTTCGGACCATTCTCTGTAAACCCTAGAGATGGTTGTGCGTGAAAATCCCAGTAGATTAGCAGTTTCTGAAATACTCAGACCAGCCCTTCTGGCACCAACAATCATGCCACGTTCAAAGTCACTCAAATCAACTTTCTTCCCCGTACTGATGCTCGGTTTGAACTGCAGGAGATTGTCTTGACCATGTCTACATGCCTAAATGCACTGAGTTGCCGCCATGTGATTGGCTGCTTAGAAATTAAGTGTTAACGAGCAGTTGGACAGGTGTACCTAATAAAGTGGCCGGTGAGTGTATATATATATATATATATATATATATATACACACACACACACATATATATATATATATATATATATATACAAACAATCAAAATATAAATGAAAGCCAGAAGCACATTTTTAGTCATACCTGGAAACAAATCCTGGTCAAATGCTATATGGGCCAGTCTACAGAATTGGTTCAATGTTGTCTTACTCTATCAGAACAGATCTGCGACTCAAAAATGGCTTGCGACCCACTAGTTGAAAACCACTAAAAACTAGTGTGACGGATCGTCTGCCTCTCCCTCGTAATCAGCGCCACCCCGTCCCTTAATTCGCCGCCCTTCGCCAGGTTCCCGACTGGAGTGGGTGTAATAGCTTGTTTTCATATGACGTCACGCCACTGCGTTGCCATGGCGCGAAATGCAAATGGAGGGCAGGAAGTGATTTGCTGTATTTAGAAAGCACTATAACAAACTCAAAATGCCTATGTTTTGCATCGTTTATGGTTACTTAAATCGATCAAACCACGAGGAGTTTTTATCGTGTACCAAAAGTTGTTGTTCATAAGGGGGGAAAATTAAAGAAATTGACTGAAAAACTTCGTGAAAACGGCTTGCAAACTTACGTCTGCGGTCGGGAGGAGCCGGAGGGGAAAATGCCCGTGTGTGCAGTGATCACTTCGTCAAAGGTGAGTTAATACAACTTAAGTGGCTATGTTTGTGTAACGTGTAACGTTTCCGAACTTTGTAAAGTCAAAGTATGTCTGTAAGACAATGTAGTTGCTGATATCTACCGCCTCGATGTCAGGAAAATCTTTCAATTCAGTTGAAAAATCGCTCCTCTTCATAACGCAAGGATCACGTCCAACATATGTTTGATTTTTTGTTTATATCTTTCTCTTGTAATAGCGTGTAAAGTAGTACAGTACGGACTTTCCTCCATCTCGTCCATTGCGCTCTTCACTTCCTGCCCTCCATCTGAATTTCGCGCGTCATCATAATCACGTGACTGAAACCCAGCTATTGGAGAGGAGGGGAGCTGATGAGGAGAATTGGCTGCGTGTGATGAGGCACACCTGACGAGAATGAAGCCTCATCACCGCCGCCTGTTAAATGCTGAGCGCGCCTCTCCTCGGGAGACTCTTCCCTGTGCATGCACACTGTTGTCCACGTGGGTTCAGGAAGGGAGTGCAGAGGGATTCCCGCGCTGCCAGAGATGCAGGTCGCCGGACCCGCAGTCCGGGCACAGAAGACGCGTGACGCCGCTGATGGACCAGGACGCCGAAGCCGCCGCCCACTCATCCCTCGAGCCAAGGAGACAGGGAAGACGTGTGTGACTGTCGGACACCGCCCCCCTTACCTGGACCCATCCCACCTCTTCACTAACCTTCCTTCACGATTCCCTGGCACAACGAGGACACCAGATCCCCTTTTATTTTAACACTTTATTTCGCCCTTTTGGACATTTTATGTTTAATTAATTTAATAAATGCCTCTCCGAGGCTTGACACCACTCCTACTCTGTCTGTCGTTTGCTCTTCCCGTCACACTAGATACGTTTTAAATAAATAAATATCACTCTGGAGTAGTTTTAATATATATTTTTTTTAATGTAATAATTTGTCATTTTATTTGTATTTGCCTGTTTTGCGTTTGTCAAATTGGATTGGGTTTTGGCTCACTTTTATATTTTCATGTCTTTTATTTTATTTTAGTCAAAGTCTCTTTGTTTTGCTAATTTTGGATTATTGTAAATAAACTGCACATGTTTAGCTGCAACTCGCCTCAGTGGACCGTCAGCACAGAGTTACTGTACATAAATAAGGGAAGGCATTTATTATATGCCTAATAAAGAAATAAACTGTTTTGTATTAGAGGCCCTGTTTACTCCTGATGTGTTTTGGTCGATCGGATCACAAGTAGACGAGGGAAACATTCCCGTTCACACCTGGTGTTTTAATCCGTCTCTATCCACTTTCAAACACTTCTGTCCTGATTTCTTCGAGGGGAGGGTCTATGGGCGAGCAAATGTACAGGCTTTTTCAGATCTTTCCATCTAAAGGATGAAATAAGATCACACAATTTATATATGAATGTGACCGGAGACGACGGAGAAACACACAGAGCATCAGCTTTTGTTTCTGCTCTGACAGACACAAGACCAGCTGAACACTGAGTGTGTGTTAGATATCAGGAATGGAGAGAGAACATCATACGTTTGATACGTTTTACATCTTCAAACCAAACTTGAGTCTTCAGCCGACAAAGTTTAAAGGGATAGTTCACTTTGAAATTAATTTTTAGGTATAAAAATTAACGTACACGTGCGAGAGATCACTTCCGGCGCTTTCCGGAAAAGGCCGAAGCGCCGGCGCCCTCAGATCACTTGGACGTGGCTGTGTTTACAAGAGGTAAAAACGATATAAATACTGTTCGTTTTCTCACACAAACCGCTCGTTTCGTGTCTTAGGCCATCAATGTGTACTTACATTTACGAGTCATTAAATCATGTTTAATTTGGACTTCTCTGTGCATGCTCTTTGAGGTGGTGACCATAGACCTGCATTATATGACTGACAGACAAGAACGGTTTGACCTAAAAATATCAAAATTGAAACTACTGCGGAAACAAAGACACCGACATCTTGGATGCCCTTGAGGTAAGCTAAAACATACCAAAAATTCATTTCAAAGTGAACTATCCCTTTAAACCCCGTCTGTCTAGAGCTCTTCTCATAATGTTCACGCATGAGGTCAGTAGACGGAGAGTAGACGGTCTATAGTGGCTGTTCGGCCGATCACATGAGCGTTTACACTGCGAAAGCAATCCGGTCGAATGCGCTCTCGACGACCTCTGGAAGTGGTGGAAAGTGGACAAGCTTTTAGACCCGTTTACACCTGTCATCCACTTGTGATCCGATCAACCAAAATGCATCTTAAAGGCAGGGTAGGTAGTTTGTTTCTAAAACCCTTTTTCCCAAATTTGTTTAAACTGTCTTTATATACCAATACATATCTAAAATGTAAGTACTCTGAAAAGGAGAGTATAAAAATCGAGTGTCTGTAGTCCTCTCAGGGCTGCAATAAACACAGCTACTCTTTCCATTCGGAACGAATGCAATGATTGGCTGGGCGACTGTCACTCTCCCTCGCTACCATGGCTACCACCCCTGTCACTCTCCCTCGCTACCATGGCTACCACCCCTGTCACTCTCCCTCGCTACCATGGCTACCACCCCTGTCACTCTCCCTCGCTACCATGGCAACCACCCCTGTCACTCTCCCTCACTACCATGGCTACCACCCCTGTCACTCTCCCTCGCTACCATGGCAACCACCCCTGTCACTCTCCCTCGCTACCATGGCTACCACCCCTGTCACTCTCCCTCGCTACCATGGCAACCACCCCTGTCACTCTCCCTCGCTACCATGGCTACCACCCCTGTCACTCTCCCTCGCTACCATGGCAACCACCCCTGTCACTCTCCCTCGCTACCATGGCAACCACCCCTGCTGCTACAGGAGCCGCCCACATGCGCGCAGCCGGTTGACTCGCTCATTTCGAAAGAGGAGACATGTACCGGCCGGAAACTAGGAAGTCTCACAATTGTGGCAGAGAAAGAGCAGTCAAAATCCCCAGTAGCACCTGTACCTGCATATACAGTCAGCGCAGGCAAACAAGGCAAACACAGGTGATGTCACTCCATGCACTGCGCTCCTCTCCGCTCGGCGCTGGTAAATGTGTCCTCCAGCTGAGCGGTCGGCATCACGCGTTCATGTGTTTTGGGGACGTGGCTTTGCAAGGAGCCCCGTGGGGGGGAGTTTCTCTGTTGGATACTTTCAAAATCCAGCACTTTTCTGCTAGTTTCTCAAACTTACCTACCCTGCCTTTAATACCAGGTGTAGACGGGGCCTGAAAGTTTTCTTTTATATAGAATCTTTGTAAATAATGACAGTGATGATCTATGGGGTGTTTGTGCTCGGGTGGCTGAGTAGTCTGACCAACAACAATGGGTTTTTCACATTAAAAATGAAAAATGAAGGCACTGTTAGTGTAAGGTTTGCATGACTGACAGAGAGTGTATGAAGCGCAC